CAAACTAGATCGCCAACCTGAAGTCTGCGGATTTTCACTTTCTTGTCGTGAGCCGCGCGCATCCTCTGCTTATATGCCTCCACCCTGATTGCTGCCTTCCCTCGCAGTTCCTCGATAGTGTCTAAAGCCGCCATCATCAAGTCTTCATTCTGTTCGGTATTGTATGCGCTCGACCTCTGGGATAGCATCTCGATCTCGATTGGCAGTAATGCCTCCATTCCGTAAGCTAAGCTGAACGGGGTTTCTCCAGTGGTCGACCGAGGGGTCGTGCGATATGCCCACAACACAGAGTTCAACTCATCGACCCATGCTCCCGAGGCCTTTTCTAACTTTGTTTTCAGCCCGCTCAATATGATCCGATTGGTTACCTCGACCTGGCCATTGGCTTGCGGATGAGCTACCGAGGCGAAATGCTGTTCGATTTTCATATCTTCACACCATGCTCGAATTCGCTTACCATTGAATTGGGTGCCATTGTCGGAAATCAACACCTTGGGTACACCAAAACGGCAGCAAATGTTGTTATATAGGAATTTGATTACTTTCTCTTCTGTGATCTTTGCCAAGGGCTCAGCCTCCACCCATTTCGTGAAATAGTCAACCGCCACTATCAGGAACTTTCTTTGTCCCGTTCTCTGCGGCATTGGCCCCACCAGATCGACACCCCATTGAGCGAAGGGTATAGGGGCACTCATCGTTGTCATCGCTTCAGCCGGTTGATGGATCAAGGGACCATGTTTCTGGCACTGCAAGAACTTTTTTACCATCACTTTCGTATCTTCTCTCATTGTCGGCCAGAAATAACCTGCTCTTAGGATCCTTGCGACCAAGGCCCCCGATTTACTGTGATCGCTACAGCAACCTTCATGCATCTCCCTCAGCACGTATCGACCTTCTTCCTTGGTGACACAGCGTAAATGTGGTCCTCCATACGACCGCTTGTAAAGGATACCTCCGTGCTCGAAAAACCTCCTGACCACTTTCATAGTTCCCTCTCTCAGTTCCTCCAAGATCGGGGCCCTCCAATCCTCTACCTCTTCGATCTCTGCCACCTCCGCCTCAACTGCACTTTTCTCCAGATGCAATAGAGTAACACTTCTGCTCTTACAATCGACCAAACTTTGGGCAATTTTCGACAACAGGTCTGCTCGACCATTCTCTCCTCGAGGAATTTGTATTAGCTCGAATGATTCAAACTCCTCTCTCAGCTTCTTCATCTCATCTACATATTTCTGCATCCGATCCTCTTTGACTTCAAAACCTTCTTGAAACTGCCCAACCACCAGTTGGGAATCGGAATGTACTTGCAACTTTCGAGCACCCCCCGCTTTGGCCAGACTCAGTCCCTTAATCACCGCCTCATATTCAGCTTCATTATTGGATATCTTGAACCCCACCTTAACCGCGAATTCTAAATAATCACCCTTGGGAGAAACCAGAACAATTCCCAATCCTGCTTTGCTTCGGGCCACAGATCCATCCACAAACAACTGCCATAGTCCCTCTGACTTCTCCTCGACTTCCGTGCCTTCCTGGATAAAATCGGCCAACACCTGTGCCTTTATGGCTCTCCTTGGCTCGTACATCAGAGAATACTCGCTCAGTTCAACCGCCCACTTCACCAATCGACCAGAGACCGATGGCCGACCCAATGTTTCTCCCAACGGCATATTCGTTCGCACCTTCACCTTATGATTCAAGAAATATGGTCTCAACTTGCCAGCAGTTACAACCACAGCTAGCGCACACTTCTCGATCTCCGAATATCTCGTCTCTGCTCCTTGCATCACTCTACTCACATAGTAGATAGGGAGTTGCGCTGTTCCTTCCTCCCACAACAATACCGAACTTACAGCTCTCTCCCCGATTGAAATGTATAGCACCAGCTCCTCTCCTTGCACGGGTTTGGCCAATAAAGGGAGGTTGGCCAACACCCCCCGCAGCTCCTCAAATGCTTTTTGCGCCTCCTCCGTCCATTGGAACTTCGCGCTCTTCTTCAGGGTTTTGAATAACGGGCCACTCTTCTCCGCCACCTTCGATATAAAACGACTCAGCCCCGCAATTCGACCGACCAAAATCTGCATCTCTTTTACGTTTGTTGGTGACTTCATTTCTATCACAGCTCGAACCTTCTCCGGATTGACTTCAATACCCCTCTTAGTCACCAGATAGCCGAAAAATTTTCCCGACCTCACTCCGAAAGAGCACTTGGCCGGATTTAGCTTCATCCCGTATCTCCGCAACGTCAAGAATGTTTCTCTCAAATCTCGCACATGATCCAACTCCTCTTTACCTTTCACCAACATATCATCCACGTATACCTCCATATTCCTTCCCAGCTGCTCCTTAAAAATTTTATCGACCAACCTTTGATACGTGGCACCCGCATTCTTCAAACCGAACGGCATGACCACGTAACAATAGGTCCCTCGACTCGTCACGAAACTCACCCGCTTCCTATCCTATCTAGCCAAGGGGATTTGATGATACCCCTAGGATGCATCCATCAGACTTAGCAATTTGCACCCTGCCGTTGAGTCGACCAGCTGGTCGATTCTGGGCAGCGGATATAGGTCCTTCGGGCACGCCTTATTCAGGTCACAAAAATCAATGCACATTCTCCATTTTCCTTCCGACTTCGACACCATCACCGTGTTCGACAGCCACTCAGGGAACTGAATCTCCTTAATATGCCCCGCTCCCAACAATTTCTCGACCTCCTGCTCGATAATCTTGTCCATCTCCGCCTCATGGTGCCTCCTTTTCTGCTTCACCGGCCTCACGCTGAGGTCGATATTTAGTCGATGTTCGATCACCTCGGAACTTATTCCCGTTAACTCTTCTGCTGTATAGGCAAAAATATCAGCGAACTCCCTTACCAAATCGATCAACCTCGACCGAATGGGCTCCTCCAGATCCTTCCCGATTCTGAACTTTCTACCCTCGCATCCCTCGATCATTTGAATTTCCTCAACCTCTCCTCCAGGCTGGATGTCCACCTTCTCCTTACCCTTCTCCACTTTTTGCTTCTCTTCCTTCGACCTTGACCCCCCTGGTCGATTGATTTCCTCTCCCTTCGACTCAGCCTGTCTCCTTGCTAATTGTTTGTTATTGCTAATTGTTGTTTGGTAGCAGCTTCTCGAAGTGAGCTGATCTCCGGCAATCTCCCCTACATTTTCGCCCACCGGATATTTGATCGTCATGTGGTACGTGGATACGACTGCCTGGAATGCGTTTAAGCTCGTCCGCCCCATGATGATGTTATAGGATGACTCAGCTCCTACAACTAAAAACCTCACCATGCGCACCTTCCTCAGCTCCCCTGATCCCAGTGCCACGGGCAAACTGACCTCCCCCATCGGAATGACTTCTCCTCCATTAAAGCCATAAAGTGCCGTGGCTACCGGCTTCAGCTCCGTA